CAGCTGCCCAGTAATGCTCACAGATCCTGCTTGGAGTTGGCTGCATGTACTTGTGCTCTCTCAAGAGTGACTGTAGACTAATCTCTTGTGTTACGACACTAGAATTGCCTTATCTGTAGAACACAGAGATGATCTTGCAGAAACTTTGTGAATGTGTATTTCCACTGTTGTGTCCACACTTGAGTGCCGTGCATAATGTGCTACAAGCGCATCAAAGCAGTTGCTGATCAAAGACGCCATAGTTTTGGAGTTTCAGTTGAGTTTTTATTGCTCATTTGCCTGATTGGACAGCTGCATGAGGCATTCCATGTGCCCAAACTCAGAGTTTACTTGCCCCAAGCATTAATGTTAAGCTCTGCCCCAAATCCTCAACTGTAAATTCTGTATAATTTTAACTATATATTTGCATTCCCATCACCTATGAGTTGTTAGATTGACAGATATCACATACAGGTGTGTCGTGATGTGGTAGACTGTCCAGCTTGCGTCAGATCAGTACTTTGCAGTGTTTCTTGTCTGTAGGAGCTGATCAGCCAGGCAGCCCAGATTCTGGGTTCTGTGGACTTTCTGGGAAACCCCATGGGCCTCCTCAACGACGTCAGTGAGGGCGTGTCTGAGCTAATCAAGTACGGCAACGTGGGCGGCCTCATACGCAATGTGACCCATGGTGTGTCCAACTCTGCTGCCAAGGTACACCCCTGCTGAGCTGTAAAGTAACGCTTTTATTACATGTGTTGCTTTTTATCTTGTAAGTTTTATAATTTTTACAACATTCTTTTTTGTTCACATTGGTAGTTCACAAATAAATGCTTTGCTGTTGCATACTTGACCAGGTTTGTACAGGTGCCTAAAAACTATTAAAATTGTAAAAGTAGAGGTAATGTAGTATGAACATCCTCCTGTTCTCTGTTGGTCAGTTTGCAGGGACTTTATCAGACGGACTGGGGAAGACCATGGACAACCGGCACCAGAGTGAGCGAGAGTACATCAGATACCACGGAGCCACCAGTGGAGAGCACCTGGTAGCAGGGATCCATGGACTGGCTCATGGTATGACCTGGAAAACTTTCTGTGTATGGTTAAATTTACAAAGCAAGGGAATCATTTAGTAAGTGTCTAAATAAACACCTAAAACCCCACTTTTGTGGAGGAGTTTGAAAAATCTGGCTAATTATTTGTTAAACACAGATACTGTAAATGTATTTATTTATTGTTGAAAAAGTGAGGAGCAATTCAATTCAATTCAGTTTTATTTGTATAGCGGCCAATTTCATAAGCAGAGTTATCCAGGACACTTTTAGATTAGAGCAGGTCTAGACCGAACTCCTTTTAACAACACACAGTAAATGTACATGTATCGCAGGATGCGGTGTCTGGTCCAGTTGCATCACCAGAAGTTTTTCCTTTAGGATGCAGGCCTTCATGGTGTTGAAAGCACGATAAATCAAAGTACATGACTCTCACAGTGTTGTCCAGCTGTGAGAAGGCCTTGTGGGTCATGAAAATACACTAGAATAATGCTTTTGGTCTTCCATAGAACTTCAACTTCAAGGAAGGTTTGAAAAGGTGCTTGAATGCTGCTGCAAGCTGCCCAGCACACACTTTAGTATCCTGGGGTTGATGTCGTCACGCTTATTATCTTGTTTTGGGGGGTTTTTTTGGAGCCTAGAGAGTTTCCTTTCTACCTTCCTGGTGGCAGTGGCAGTGCTCAGGGATGAATCACATTCGCTAAAGCTGCCACAGTGTTTATATAACTCCAGCCCGGCGCTGTATAATCTCAGAAGCTCCATTGTAAATACACTGTGTATGAGAAACTGCCCTATACCTTTCTGTTTTCCTTGAAGTTATTATCTCTGCAAGTTTCCTTTTAAATAAACTCCCCCCTCCCCTAGGTATCATTGGAGGCATGACGAGCATCATCACTTCCACAGTGGAGGGGGTAAAGACGGAGGGTGGAGTCAGCGGCTTCTTCTCAGGCCTGGGTAAAGGTCTGGTCGGCACTGTGACCAAGCCGGTGGCTGGAGCTCTGGACTTTGCCTCAGAGACAGCACAGACAGTCCGAGACATGGCTAGTCTCAGTAACCACAGGTGGGTTGAGTGTATTACTTGTATTTTGAAAAAATAACTCCACCTTAGTAAATGGGCTGCACTTATATAGCGCCTTTCTAGTCTTTTGATGCCACAAAGTGCTTAACACGACATGTCACATTCATGCACTGATGGCACAGGCTGCCATGCAAGGTGCAAATTGCTCATCAGAGACAGAATAGATTATTTGTATATATGTCTTAATACAAGTCCGGAGGGAATCTTTGACCCAAGTGTGTTTAGTGTCTCTTTACATGGTTCCATGAAGCTATAAACACTGACAATGAACATTTTGCAAATACGTTCAGTAGGGGTGCAAGAAAATATAGAAAAATATTGTCTTGCGATATTCTGTTTTATGATATTGTATCGATTCTCAAAAACACTATAGATTTTTGTGATTGAACCCCCTACCTAATCAGTCATATATATATATATGTATGTATGTATGTATGTATGTATGTATATATATATGTATGTATGTATGTATGTATGTATGTATGTATGTATGTATGTATGTATGTATGTATGTATGTATGCATGTATA